GCCCCAAGAACCACATCATCGATTCCATTGCTCACTCATGAATAAGCTTTGTGCTGAGTGATTTTGGCCCCATGGCCCTGATCCCTTAAATGAATGCCCAGGATATGACAGCCCCCAAACACATTACTCTTCTTCTAGTTCTGGATGGAAAATATTATATAATGCTTAAGGCTGGACTTGTTCCTAAGCCCTTGAAATCTTCAGGCTCTTTGATACCAGGGACAAAACCGTATTTCTTCTATATTTCCCCAAATTATGACTTGTAAGGAAGATATATAATAATTAAAAGTCCTTATTAATTGAATTCTGCCAACAGACTAGCAACTCCCCAGACTGATAACAAAGCCAGGCAAAGCAGTTGTCAGTTTGAGGATGGCATCTGTGGAGGCAAACTCTTGCTCTCCCTGGCTTCTTCTTGATCCAGGCAGAGAACATAAAAATTTCTTGCATCAGATACCTGATTGAGCCCCAGATCAAGGCAAAATGCCAATGCTTACGTGAGCTCTGCACTTCCCATCTCCTACCTTGGGCTATAATTAGCAGACAGGGAAATCAGGAGGTATGAGAGCATGTCTTCAAAATTGAATGGAAATCAATGGGGAAATGACTTGCTTTACCGAAATCTGTTCCACATGCAAAGTTCCAGGAATATTTTAAAATAAGGTCTATTACAGGTTAAATGCAACATCTAAATAACCTTCAGATTATCTAGCCAATGACGTTTCTAGATGATCTTTAAAATGCCTCCCATCATATCTCTTTCTAAAAGATGTAGGAGAAGTAGGAATATTAATAAATTAGTTCATACTTATGAATATTTCTCACAGTCTTTCCAATGCTCTTCAGTCCCTTAATAATCTACATGTAATTTTAAAACTTTTTATTATGGAAATTTCAAACAAATATGTAAGTTAAGAGAACAGTATAATGAACCTTCATGTACCCTTAACCCAACTTAAATAAGTATCAATTCACAGTCAATTTTCTCTGTACTGCAATCTATTTTCCCCATGTTCTCCAGATTATCTTGAAACAAATCTCAAGTATATCATTTATTTTAAATATTTCAGCAAGCTATAACCATTGTTCAGTCCAGTTCTCAAAAAGGCTTTTACTGAATCATACAGTTTCTACAAAAATAAACATATTTACTTATAAATTTCTTTACACTGATTTAGTTAGTTCATCCATTTGTCCATCCATTTGTTCATTCATCACACGTCAGAAACATTTATTGGGAATTCCCTTGCGGTCCACTGGTTAGGCTCCATGGTTCTACTGCAGGGGGCACGGGTTCAATCCCAGGTCAGGGAACTAAGATCCTGCATGCCGCAGAGCCAGAAAAAAAAAGAAAAAAAGAAAAAGGTTATTAAATACTTAGTATGTACTGGACCTACTTGGAATTCTGGGAATACAGCTATGAACAAAGTAGACAAGAACCCCTGATATTATATTTTGGTAGGGAGAGGAAAATAGTAAACAAATTAGAAAATTCATAAACAAGTTTATTTCAAATGTCAAGAAAGAAAGGAACAAGGTAATGTGATAGTAACTCGGCCTGGTGGAAGGAGGGGAGGTGTGACATTTCAGCTGATACCTGAAGAATATAAAAGAACAGCAATTTGAAGACTGGGTATAGAGTGAACCGGGCAGAGAAAATCAAAAAGACTGAGGCAAGGAAGAGATTTCTGTGTCAGGGAACAGCAAGGAACACAGTGTAAATTCAGCATAATAAACAAGGGAGAAACTGGTCAGACATACAGCTGGAGAGTGTGGTAGACAGTGACCCCCAACAAATCATCCCTTCCAATATTCGTGTCCTTCGTATCCTGCATGCCACACAGCCAGAAAACAAAAAGAAAAAGTTTATTAAGTACTTAGTATGTACTGGAGCTACTTGGAATTCTGGGAATACAGCTATGAACAAAGTAGACAAGAACCCCTGATATTATATTTTGGTAGGGAGAGGAAAATAGTAAACAAATTGGAAAATTCATAAGCAAGTTTACTTGATTGTGTGCTTTGCTTTGGCCAGTGGGACATTAGCAAGCATGGTAGAAGGAGACTGGATTAGCACTTGCACACTAGAGCTTGTCCTCTTGGAACGCTGTCTCTGGAAGCTAGCCACCATGCTGAAAAGTGACTTGAGCTAGACTAGTGAGTGATGAGGGGCCACATGGAGACACCCTCTGGAGGATGAGAGTTCACCTTGGACAGTGCAGCGCCACCGAGCTCCTAAAAGAACGTGGTCACGTTACTGCAGTCAACCCACAAAATCATGAGAAACAATAAATCACTGTTTTCAGTCATTATTTTGGGGGGTGGTTAATTACATGGCAATAGAAAACTGAAACAGAAAGTAGTACCTGGAAGTGGGGTGCTGCTGTAACGGAAACCTAAATCAGGTGATTTTGAGATTGAGCCATGGAGGAAGGCTGGAAGAGTGGCAAAGGCAGTGAGCAAATGGAACGTTGGAAAGATGGTCATCTGTGTTGTAAAGCTGGGGAACAACTGGTAAAGCTGATGACTGCGGTAATATGTAAGATAGAAAACGTACTTAATGAACTTGTGGATCTGTCCAAAGGAAACTTCCAAGTAGAATGCCAAAGGGGCTAATCTGCTTCTTTTAGCTGCCTGTCATAAAATATGGGAAGGAAGGATGAACGAGAATTTCAGTTTTCAAGCAGAAAAAATAATAAATGGCCTCAGCATGCTGCCAGCAAAACGTGATCTTAGTCAAGATCAAGTTGAGGGTGTGGCTGTAAGACCTATTTTAAGCCTCAGAGCCCAAAATGCAGAGGGTCCGTTCCCAAGAGATGTGTGGATTGGTGTGTGACTCTTGTCTAATGGAGTAGATTATAATTTACCATACAGAACATCCACAGCATTTTAAAAGGAACTGTACACACTTAAAGGAACAAAGACAGTTGAAAATGAAAAGAGGCCTCTGGGCTCCCACCTTTCCATGAGCAAGAAGCAGACTGAGAAATCAGCCTCAAAGATGAACCATTTCTCATGGAAAATGAAAAAGGTCTCAGAGGACAGAGCCAACAGCTAAGAACAATGGATTGAGGAAAAAGTGAACATATTAGAAAATTCATAAACAAGATCATTTCAAATGGCAAGAAAAAAAAAAAAAGAACAAGGTGATGTGATGGTAATTTGGCGGGGTGTGGTGGAGGAGGGAGCAGAAGCAGGCCCCAATCAAGCAATAGTCCCTCCCTCCAGACCTAGGGAAACTGGCAACATGTGTACAGCTGGCTTTTAGAACTGCTAAGGACCCGTGCATTCTACGTGCCTTTAATGTCCTCCCCCTGAGAACGGGAGCATCTGCTGCTATCTTATCCCTCTCTCACCACTGCATGTGGGGTTGGGGGAGGGGGGTTGGTGATGGTGGCAGATAACTTGAATTTTTAGTTCACAGGTTTCCAGACTGAGAAAAGCCACACCCAAGCAACCTCATCCACATCCAGACCTGATCCAAATGATGAAATTCTGGGCACTGAGCAGCTGCCATACTGGGTGAGACTTTGGGAGGTAGTGGAAGAGATGAATGTGTTTTGCATAAGGGAGAAATGCCAGTAATTTATGGCCAGAGGATGGATTGTGATAGATTATAAAGATGGCCACAAAGGGCTTCCCTGGTGGTGCAGTGGTTAAGAATCCGCCTGCCAACGCAGGGGACACGGGTTCGAGCCCTGGTCCGGGAAGATCCTATATGCTGTGGAGCAACTAAGCCCGTGAGCCACAACTACTGAGCCTGCGCTCTAGAGCCCGCAAGCCACAACTACTGAGCCAACGCACCACAACTACTGAAGCCCGTGCACCTAGAGCCTGTGCTCCGCAACAAGAGAAGCCACCACAATGAGAAGCCCACGCACCGCAATGAAGAGTAGACCCCGCTCGACCCATCTAAAGAAAGCCCGTGCACAGCAACGAAGACCCAATGCAGCCAAAAATAAATTAAATAAAATAAATTAAAAAATAAAAAGTAAAAAGATGGCCACAAAATCTTTTGTGTCCTTGCATAGAGACCAGAAGTCTATTTCTCCTCCCCTTGAGTCTGGGCTGGCTTCATGACCTGTTTTGACAAATAGAAGCAGCAGAAGTGATACTGTGTCAGGTCTTAAAAGACTGTGCAGCTTCCACATTTGCCCTCTTGGAGCCCCAAGCCACATGGAAAGAGGTTCAGCCACCCAGATGGAGAGCTGAAAGGTGCCTGGCTAAAAGAAAACTGTTTCTCTGCTCGTAGCACTTCTGACCCCAGTGTGTAGATTTTCCACACCAAGCAATTCTCCAATTCTCTGTGCACACCAAGTGGTGTCCCACAATTTAATTCAATTCAGACATTATTAATCTAGAGTTAGCACACAGGTTAAGGGATCAGTCCCACTATGCAAATAGTGGGTCCCCAGGTTACCCACACTTCTGTCCAACTTCTGTCCAACTTCTGGCTACGAATCAGGAGTTCCCACGACCCTCCCCTCAGGTTTGATAATTTGCTATAATGGCTCAGAACTCAGGGAAACACTCTGCTTACTATTATTGGCTTATTATAAAGGATACTGTAAAGGGTACAGAGGAACAGCCAAAGGAAGAGGTACATGGGGTGGGGTCTGGAAGAATCCTGAGCACAGGAGCTTCTGTCCCGTGATTTGGGGTGTGCATCCTCCCGGCACATAGTTCACAAAACTAGAAGCTCTCTGAACAATCTATAGTTTAGTCATTTTAGGAAGGTCCCATTTTGTAGGTATGATTGATTAAATCACTGGCCATTGATCATTAACTCAGTCTCCAGCTTCTCTCCCCTCCATGGAGGCTGGGGGTGGGACTGAAAGTTCTAATCCTCTAGTCACTTGGTTGGTTCCTCTGGTGACCAGCGTGTATCCTGGGGCTTTTGGCCACCATTCATCTTATTAACATAAACTCAAGCATGGTTGAAAGAGTTTTATTATGATTAACAAAGACCCTTCTCTCACCACATCACTCAGGAAATCACAAAAATTTTAAGAGCTCTGTGACAGGAACTGGGACGAAGACCAAAGATAGATGTCTTATTTTACCACAGTGTCACATTGGCCAAGCCCTTGATGTTCCAGCTGTCACAGTTAGACACCAGACTTGTGGGAAAACCTGTCTTGAATTCCCAGCCGCAGGCAAAGAGCTGTCCTGCTAAGTCCAGCGAACCCAAATTGCACAACTGTGAGTAAATGCACAGGGGTTGTTTTAAACCACTAAGTTTTGGGATAGCTAGTTACAAAGCAATAGATGAATGCAACAGAAATATAGTGATGGACTAATGATAGCTCAAGTTCTTTGGGGTTCACCCTTCAAAAGGTGGAGGTTTTGCCTGGGCTCACTCATAGGGCTGCATTCAGCTGGAGGGTTAGCTGGGCTGGAAGGTCCAAGACAACCTCACTCACAGGGCTGGCCATTGGTTCTTCTCCATATGTCCTCTCATCTTTAGTAGGCTAGACCAGTTTCCTTACATGGTGGTCTTAGGGCAGCATTCCCAGAAGGAAAAACCAGGAGCTGCAAGGCTCCCTGAAGGTGAGTCTCTACGGACTTATACAGTGTCACTTCCACCACATTCAAAGCAAGTCAAACAGTTAGCCCAGATTCATTCAAGAGATGGGAGAGAACCAAGTAGTTTCTTTTCTCACCTTATCGATGAGAAGAGCTGCAAAGTATTGTGGCCAAGTTTTTCAATTTACCATCATGTCGCAAAAATTTCAGTGAAATGCCAGATATTTGTGCTTAGGAACAGAACTGGAATGACTGTACACATAATAACATATATGACATTTTAAAATTAATCTAAGAAAGCATTATATCATCATTTTTACTTTAGCCCTATTGTCAAAACCACCTTAACTTTCTTTTTTTCTTTATTTTTTAGAAAGCCAATTTTAAAAGATACCAAATACTGAAATAGGGTCTCCGAACTGTTTTATGAATTACCAAACATTTCCTCAGGTCTTGAGATCATCCTGCATGGACCCCATCGCTGGTGAGCGTTTTTCTGCCCCTGAAATCCTTTTAAGCCTGGGGAAAAGAGAGTAAGGAGGAAGTGGAATGTGAAAGCAGCAATCAGCTGGAAATTCTGTCAGGTAAGACCTTTAGATCATTGGGTAGGTCCCTATCTATCAGAAATCGTGCTCTAAAAACTTCTGTAAAAACCTACATTTCAAAATGTTAAGCTTAACTTTTCTGGACTTGTCCTTGAGTGATTAATAGTTAGAAACGTACTGAGAACCAGCTCTTATAGAGCATCCTTTCGTTCACAAATTCCACAAATATGGGTTTGCTAAACTAGAAGAATTAGAGAATATCTGCATTTAGTCCAAGATATTTATGTCATGGTTCATAAAACAATGGTGGCACTTATCTAAGCCTGATAAAGGAAACTTACCCATTTACAGGAATCTTTATGATTGTTTGTAGCATCTTTTATAATCTAGAGAAATATCTTGCACACAGTGTTTTGATCAAAAATGCTATAAGAGGGCTTCCCTGGTGGCGCAGTGGTTAAGAATCTGCCTGCCAGCTCAATGTCAAAAACACAAACAACCCAATCCAAAAATGGGCAGAAGACCTAAATAGACATTTCTCCAAAGAAGATATACAGATTGCCAACAAACACATGAAAGAAGGCTCAACATCACTAATCATTAGAGAAATGCAAATCAAAACTACAATGAGGTATCACCTCACACCAGTCAGAATGGCCATCATCAAAAAATCTACAAACAATAAATGCTGGAGAGGATGTGGAGAAAAGGGAACCCTCTTGCACTGTTGGTGGGAATGTAAATTGATACAGCCATTATGGAGAGCAGTATGGAGGTTCCTTAAAAAACTACAAATAGAACTACCATATGACCCAGCAATCCCACTACTGGGCATATACCCTGAGAAAACCATAATTCAAAAAGAGTCATGTACCACAATGTTCATTGCAGCACTCTTTGCAATAGCCAGGACGTGGAAGCAACCTAAGTGTCCATCAACAGATGAATGGATAAAGAAGATGTGGCACATATATACAATGGAATATTACTCAGCCATAAAAAGAAACGAAATTGAGTTATTTGTAGTGAGGTGGATGGACCTAGAGTCTGTCATACAGAGTGAAGTAAGTCAGAAAAACAAATACCGTATGCTAACACATATATACAGAATTTTAAAAAAATGGTTCTGAAGAACCTAGGGGTAGGACAGGAATAAAGACGCATAAGTAGAGAATGGACTTGAGGACATCGGGAGGGGGAAGGGTAAGCTGGGATGAAGTGAGAGAGTGGCATGGACATATATACGCTGCCAAATGTGAAATAGATAGCTAGTGGGAAGGAGCTGCATAGCACAGGGAGATCAGCTAGGTGCTTTGTGACCACCTAGAGGGGTGGGATAGGGAGGGTGGGAGGGAGATGCAAGAGGGAGGAGATATGGGGATATATGTATATGTATAGCTGATTCACTTTGTTATAAAGCAGAAACTAACACACCAGTGTAAAGCAATTACACTCCAATAAAGATGTTAAAAAAAAAAGAATCCACCTGCCAATGCAGGGGACACAGGTTCGAGCCCTGGTTCGGGATGATCCCACATGCTGCGGGGCAACTAAGCCGGTGCGCCACAACTACTGAGCCTGTGCTCTACAACCTGCGAGCCGCAGATACTGAGCCTGAGTGCCACAAGTACTGAAGCCCGCCTAGAGCCTGTGCTCCATAACAAGAGAAGCCACTGCAGTGAGAAGCCCGTGCACTGCAACGAAGAGTAGCCCCCGCTCACTGCAACTAGAGAAAACCACGCACAGCAGCAAAGAACCAAAGCAGCCAAAATAAATAAATAAAATATATAAATTTATTTTTAAAAAATGCTATAAGAGAGCTCAGTGTCTGCCTAAGAAGTAACACAGTGCATTCCTCAATAGAGATTAAAGTTGAAGCAATCTGTAGTATTGATGAGGCAATCTTTTTTTGTTGTTGGAGAGGAGGTTATGATAACTGTTTTAGATAAAGCAAAAGTTGCATGCAATTTTTCAGTTCTACCACTAGATGTATCCATCTTCTTACCAACTTACTCATCGTCTTATCAACACAAGACAGAAATCTCCAGTGCATAATTTGTGGAAAGCTTAATGTTAGGCACTCCAGATTATCAAAAATAAGATGCAGTTGATGTTCTAAACATCATAGTAGTCTGGTGGGGACAAGACAAGCACTCAAGAATCTGTATTTCAAAGCAGAATATAAATGTCAAAATACAAATGAGAAGTTCTATGGAAACTCAAAAGAAAGAATAACTCCAAAACATTAGCAGAAGATTTTTGGATGAGGTAGCATTTGAATTTTGAAGTTCAAGTAGCATTTCAACTGACTGAGGTGGAGAGTGTTGGATAAACAAACACAGAGGTGGGAAGGCATGATAATGTGTTCTTGGAACACCGAGAGATAAGACTTGAGATGTAGGGTAGGGCTATATTGTTTTAAATGCCGAGTTGAAGAGATTATAATTAATTCAATCAGTGATGGAGGTGCCCCCCAGCCCCACCCCCACCCCCGGTTCTTTGAGACACCAGTCTATGAACCAGGCTCTGTTCCTCCACATTCCTTCCTGTGGGCGGAGTCAGGACTCCCTTTCCCCCACACCTACAGCCCTCCTACCTACTAGAATATCTGACAAATGTGTTGGGGGTAGTGAAAGTGAGAGATAAAAAATAAACCCAAATTCGTTTTTCCCAGTTTTTCTCTTTTTATTAAGGGTACTCATGTTATTATTATTTTGACTATTTTCGAAAATTTGGCTTACCACTAAAGAATGTATATTTCATATGATGAGAATATTCAAAAGAATAGACCACATTATGGAGGTAACTAAAATATCCACAAATGTTACTGAGTTGAGGAAGATTATTTGAACACACAGTGTATATTGCTCCAAAGAATAAATGTCCAATTAGGGCAGAGGTTGCAAACTGGTGACTTGGGGTCCTATCTAGCTCAAAATATGTTCTGTTAGGGCACTTCCCTGGTGGTCCAGCGGCTAAGACTCCGTGCTCCCAATGCAGGGGGCCCAGGTTTGATCCCTGCAGGGAAATAGATCCCACATGCCACAGCTAAAGATCCAGCATGCCACAATGAAGATCCCGCACTTCACAATGAAGATCCTGTGTGCTGCAACTAAGACCTGGCACAGCCAAATAAATAAATATTAAAAATATATATATATATATATATATGTTTTGTTAAATTGCACAACATTAAAAAAAATTTTTTTTGAGGGCTTCCCTGGTGGCGCAGTGGTTGAGTCCGCCTGCCGATGCAGGGGACACGGGTTCATGCCCCGGTCCGGGAAGATCCCACATGCCGCGGAGCGGCTGGGTCCGTGAGCCATGGCCGCTGAGCCTGCGCGTCCGGAGCCTGTGCTCCAAAACAGGAGAGGCCACAGCAGTGAGAGGCCCACGTACTGCAAAAAAAAATTTTTTTTTGAGTTACTTGATATTACTTTACAAATCATGAGGCTTTCACATGCAATCTAGATTTCTGGCTTCTCTTCAAACATTGTAAAATTTCATAACAAGGCATCCCCGTTCCCATTCAGCATAGTCAGCTGGAGCTGTGTAGAGACCACCCCCCCCGATTCAGTAACACACCTCCTCTCTAGTTTCCATGTGCCCTGCTCCCTTCTGTAATACACAGGACCTGCTTTCCAATTTATATTACCTGTCTGGCCCATAGACATTTGATTTGTGTGATCTCTATGTCTGCCCATTTGGATCTGCAGATTTTAGTGTCTTTGTTGGACTGGTCATCACCAGTCATTACACACTGATGTTCTCAAACTCTTTCCTGCATCCACATTTTGGTCAGTGTGTAAAATTGATTTTGTTGCAACTGAGCATATATGCCATCAATTCATTAAACTAAGTGGGTTTGTGACTTGCTATTGAATCGGGTATAATCTTCTACAAGTAAGAGGTAAGAGACAAAGTGTAGAATCCAGAAAGATCACATGATTAATGGAACACCGGAGAACTTTGCCCCATGAGTATATAAGGGCAGCAAAAAAAATGTCTGTTCAAGTAACAATACAATGAATTCAATAACTGTGGGTGCTCTGGTGGTGAGATATTTTGAAATATATTAATGTGTTTTTTACTTCTGTACTTCTTTGGCTATGCCTTCCCCCCCAATTTAGTCTTCATTGTCTTGAGAAGGATTAGGATATTTTTTAGCAGGAATGCAAAGTCATTGTTTAATCTTGAAGCCCATTTCAGAAGCAAGAGTCTTGAAGCCAGGTGTACAGTCAGGGTCTAAATAGGAAAACAGAAATCCCTTTAAGAACTTACATTATAGGAAAATTGACTTAGGTAACTGGGTTTACAGGAGATGGAGTAGGTGAGAAGCCAGAGACTGGATGGTGAAGTCACCCAGAGCCACATCAGCAAGACTGGAGGGGCAAAGGGAGGAGACTGTCGCTACAGGAAACTGGATCCACAGTGGAGTAAGGCAGCTCCTGCCAGAGGTACCGCAAAGGCAGAGAGAAATATTTAGAATTCTCCCTTCCCATCCCGGCCCCATCTCCTGCTAGTGTCATCCAGTGGCTGAGCCCAGCCAGAGTCAGTACCATGGGGACCTGCAGGCATCCGGAGCCCCCGGAGAGATGGACATGGGCAGGACCAGAGAGCACTAGAGGGCAAGCAGGTTCAGTGTCCACACAGCAATTACAAAGGCCAGCCACTGGAGATAGAACAGGGTTTTGCTCTGTTTTGTTTTCATCTTCCTAAACGTTCTCTTTAAATCTCTAGACCCAAAGCCTGGAGGGCTAAGTTTAGAGTTTATAACATAAACCATAGGGTATAGAACATGAGGTCATGGCAATTTCCTGTCACACAAAAAGGCAATAAAAACCCTTCCTGGCTTGGGAGAAGGAGCTTGGAGGAAATACTGAGGAACACAGGATTCTCAAGCTCCGTGAATGGGGACAGGCAGGGAAAAGGAGCCTCAGCTTGAAATTCCTAGAGCAGGGGGTGCTCACGCACTATTGTTTTTTCTTTTTTTTTTTATTCCTTTATTATTATTTTTTAATTAATTTATTTATTTTTGG